CAGGAGGCTTTATAGCATGTATCCATCTACTTATTCATTGTGTCTATATCTATTGTGTGCAGTACACTGTTCAGGGCTCTGGAAATGAAAACTTTTTCCAATGTTCTGCCCTCCCATTCTCCATCAGGCACACTACATTAAGAAATGGTTATTGAAGCAGGGTTCCAGTGGCTGAGACCTGTAATCCTAGCTACTCAGGTGGCTGAGATCTGAGGATGAAGGTTTGAAACCAGCCTGGACAGAAAAGAGACTCATCTCCAATTGAACAGTAAAAAACCAGGGGGAGTTGTGGCTCAAATAATAGAATGCTAGTCTTGTGTGAAAAAGCTAAAGGAGGGCCTGAGTTCAAACCTTAGTACCAGCATACACACACACACACACACACACACACACCTATTATGAACTATAAAGGAAAATATGTCTCTAATTCTCCTTAAAAGAACAAGTTTCACAGCAAGACATAGGTACCCCTCAAGCAATAGAATCCAAGGTTTGGTGGCTCGCTAAAATTCTACTAGGAAGTAAGTGATTTGGGGTAAGTTATTCTAGCTATCTAGGAGCAATTTCCTCAACTGTAAAAAGAGATCACAGCCTCATCAGGAGATGGGTTAGGATTTCAGAAGTGGCTTGTGCAAGCTTTAATATAAGACCTAACCCGGAACTCCAGCTAAACAAACCAAGAAAGCGATAGATGTATGACGGCTAAATACCTTCGGGTATTCTAGCCAGAGCAAAGTGGACGCTGGGATAACGCCATAGAATAGAACTCATTCCATACTAAAGGTGCTGGATTTTGATCTGCAAGGTGTACAGCAAGGTTCTTAAGCTTTCCTATCTACAACTATTAACCATTTCCTTGGAAACATTTCCGGAGTTTGTCTGGCGAGTGATTTCTGTCCATGCTCTGTAGGTGTGTGAATAGAAGGAGTCTTACTCATCTGGGAGCCACTCTGCCCTTCCCTGGAGTGATACAAATTAGAGGGAGGCCATGGAGCTTCCTCCTGTCCCCAGGGGCCCCTTGAGCAAGGGCTTCTTGACAGCATTGTGGTTTGGGTTGTCATCACAGCTAACCACTCATTTCTCAACGGACGCCCTGTGTCACTGTGCATCCCATCAGGGCGTGGGAATGGTTCCTGCAGAGCCGAGAGAGGCAGGAAGCCATGCTGCCCTAAGGTGATGAAAAGGGCAGTGGGGCTGGACAGAAGGGCTGGGCTCAGGATCATGGGGAACAAGCAGACCCTACTGGAACTAGGCAAAATGTACACAATGGACTTCTTTGCTTTCCAGACCAGTGAGAAGAGTCTTCTGCCTGAGTTGCACAATCCTGCATAGAGCAACTACTGAATTTCTATCATCATTCAAGTGTTCACCCTTACCAACAGAGCTACATATTCATGCACGTTACAATTTTTTTCTATATTTGATTTAAAAATTTGTATAAGAATTACTGCTTTGATTAAATACCACTGTAATGTCCATCTGATATAAGAGAAGACTGAGATACAGAGATGAAAAAGTGTCTGTGGCTGGTAGGAAGTGGAGCTTGTGTTCAAATCCTAGCAGTAAAAGTGCTGGAGTAGATTAATGTGGTCTTCAAGGCACCTGGGGAGCCAGCCCAGGCTTTCCATAGAAGATTCTAAGGGTTTGGGTTAAAACAGAGATTTCCAGGCACTGGTGGCTCAGCCCTGTAATCCTAGTTACTTAGAAGCTGAGATTTGAGGATTGTGGTTAGAATCTAGCCGCAGCAGGAAAATTTGTGGGATTCTTATCTACAATTAACCAGCAAAAACCAGAAATGGTAGTAGGACTCAAGTGGTAGAGACCCTATTTTATGGGAAAAAGCTAAAGAAGAGTTCAGGGTTCTGGGTTCAAGCCCCAGTGCAGGCACCAAGAGAAAAAAGCATTTTTTTTCTAATGGTCTCTGATGTCAATTTGGCCTCTTACCTAGTACAGGAGAGGTAGGACAAGTGGGTGGAAGTCAAGAGAAAGTGGGGGTGGATTGTTCATGTGGGTTTTCAAGAAGTAAAAACTCAGGGGCAGCTACAAGGCTGTAGGCGGTTAATATGAGAAAGATACAGAGCTCAGAGCCAAGCCTGGCTTTGCATGTACCCACACCCACTTGTGGAGCAGGGAGAACTACCTGGAATGCCTGTTGACAAAACACTGGCAGGATTCCACCTCCAGAGTTCAGTCAACTGAGAGTCTGAGAATTTGCCTTTTGAGAAAGTACTCGTAAAAAGCCCATGTTACTGGTTCAACCTGGAGGAACTTTAAAAGAGAGTCTAGTGAAGTCAAGTGTCCTAGTCACTGCAAGTAAGAAAAGGATTCAGCTTTGTCTGAATCACAAAGAAAAGTCTGATTTCTACTGTGCCACAAGTAATATACAAAGTGGCACCAGCAAATTCCAACCAAGTATTTTGGAATTGCTAAGAAGACAATGCAGATCATCCCTTTGTATGTCATGTTAACTAGGTGCTGTCAGACCTCCTATGGGGTTGGAAGTGTGATAATGTCTCCTAGCTCATTGTAAAAGAATCTAATTAAGGGTCAGGAAGTCTAAGTTTGAATCCTGGCTCAAGCTCTTACCATCTGTGTGGCTGTGAGAGGCAATTCATTAACCTCTCTGATCCTGTGTCTCTACCTTACTCTGGATGAGTGGCAGGGAATATTCACAAATTATTATCTTACCATCCTGGTCTACATGTAAACCCAAGCGTGTATTGCGATTTCTGGGAGGAGAAAGGAGATGGGCTTGGTGTTAGTGTTCAGGTTCCCTGAAGACAGCCTGAGGAGATTTTTTAATACGTTTTAAATTGTAAAAATACTGTACAGAGGGGTTACAGTTACATGAGCAAGGTAATGAGTACATTTCTTATTGAGCATTATTGCCTCCTCCTTTGTGTTTCCCCTCCCATCCCTTCCCTCCCACCTCCTTAACTACACTCCACCCTCTCCTCCCCCCCCTCCCCCCCCCCCCCCCCGGCCTAAATTGTAAAGTTCATTTTTCAACATAGTGTCTAGTACATCTCATTGTTGCAATAGATCAACCTGTATGCCTATTTAAACACTTTGTTTTTTCCCTTCCCTGAGGAGATTGTTATGCAGGAATTTTCTTTACCTGACTCTTGATGGGTCTTACATCAGACAGAGTCTGAATAAGACATCCTTCACCCCTGGAGGAGCAGCTGATGTCTTTCAGAGATGCACAGTGAAGGAAGAGATGTCCTCCTGCATCTCCTTGCTTCACCTTACTCTGCCTGCACCCCTGGTGGGCCCAGGTGAGACCTTGGCCTCAGTTGCTCACCTAGTTCTCAACCTGAGGATCTTGGAGGCCTCTTGAAATAAGTGAGAATATATGGTTGCTTTGATTGTTTGGTTTTTTTTTTTTCACCAGTCAAAAGCCCAGGGTTTCTGGACCCTGTCTTTCAGTTCTTGCAAATAAAACTTGAAAGAAAGAATAATCCCCCATACACAGTCGATCAGAGTTTCATTTTCTCTCCCTTTTAAAAATGTGTTCCAACTTCAATTTGGGTGTCCCCCGAGCCTATTAAACCTGGTCAATACGATGCACTGTTTGTCCCTCACTTACACAGACCTTCTATTCCCTCTCACAGTTGTGTCTGCCTCCCAGGCCCCTTCCTCACTCCTGTCCAGCCTCAGAAGCCAGGGAAGCGTCTGTGCTGCCCATTTGTTTTCTTTACCTATCCTAGACTTGAAGTGTTTCATATTTCTCAGTAGGCAGTGGATCAAAAGCAGTCTTTTGTGGCATTGGTCCTTCCTTATCCTAGAATGTGTTTCTGGCTATGAGAAAGACAGAAAGACTCCTTTCTATGTACGTCTACCCCTACCTCCAAAATATGAGGGAAATTGGTTGCTCCTTAAATTATAGCCTAAGGAAAGCTGAGTATGTCATTAGCTCTTTTTGGCTGGCATCATCAAATACATTGTCTATAAATGACAATCATTCTAAATCTTCTAAATGATACTTATGTGTGTATATTAAATGTGTGTTATATGGTTATATTTTATTTCATATCATATATAATTATACAGGAGATAAATATGTAAATTAATATATACATGTATAGTATCTTCAAAATATATATAGATATGTAATGTTTAATTACATTCATTTATCCTTTACAGCAAGCATATGAAGTATTTTAATTTTAACTATGTAGTGAGTTATTATGTATTGTAATATATTCCCTATGAAATCACTTAGAATATTTATATACCAGCAGATAAGTCTGTTTTGATCTACTCTTTACAAGGTTTCTGTTAATTAGTTACTGTCATTATTCCCATTTTTAAGATGAGGACTGTGAGGCAGAGAACAAGGTTCTGTAACAGGTCACTCAGTAAGTGAGAGACAGAGTTGGAGATGAGGCTATGTCATGTGTCTCTGGAGTCTGGGCCTCTCCTATCTCCAAACAGAAATGGGGAGTATCAGGCACAGGACTGTAATCAGCATAAACCAGATATCATCTCTGGGCTGGAAAATACGATGATGCTTTTGTAAAAGTAGACTATGATTATACTCTTGTGAACATTTTGCAAAGGTAAAGCATGAGTGTTGTGCTGTATACCCTTGAGTGTACTATACCTTGCCTATAGAAATACTTGGATAACAGAAGGAGATAGAAGCTTTGAAAGCAGGAGTGAGGATGATAAGAAAGTCAGAAGCTGCCCGTGTGTTCTAGCTCTCTCTAAGAGAGACACCAATTCAGAACTGCTTTTGTTTTCCCACAAGTCTCTCTTGGATGACATATTTCTTACATGGTCCAGATTAATTGCTCACCATAGGTTGCAAGAATTCTGACACTGAGGAGAGAGCTGTAGAAAGGATTTCTGTGCCTGGAATAAGCTACCCTCTACTGTATACTCAGTAGAGGGTAGCTTCATAAAAATACATTGCTCACTAATTTGACTGGCATGAGATAAATCAAACACTGCATGGAGCTTTTGACTCTTGGAGCTGAGATTGTACATAATATCTTCTATCCCGTGCTCCAGGCCTTCATCACAATGTCTGAAACTCTGTGGCAGGCACTCACAGTGGCTGCTTCATTTACCACCTCTTCATGGACAAACCTTATACTAGTCTGGGCTCTCATCTCAGAATGAGATACAGACTCTTCAAATTCCATCATGAATGTACCAATGAGAATGGTAGGTTTCCCTGAGCCTAGGAGAATAAGAAAGAAATTATTCATATCACAATAAAATCACATGCTATATTGATATTGGAAAAATTTCATTATTATTTTATTGTGAAAATAGAGGAGTTACAATTACATGGGCAAGATAATGAGTACATTTTTTTATCAAGCATTGTTGCCTCCTCTTTGTTTCTCTTTCCCATCCCTTCCCATATTCCCCCCACCTCCCCCCACCTTATCCTCCCCGCCCCCCCCCCCGCAAAGTTGTAAAGTTCGTTTTTCGACATAACGACTTGTATATCTCATTGTTGCAGTGGGTCCACCTGTATCCCTAGTTAAATGATTTGTTTTTGCCCTTCCCCTCCACAAATTATACCAACATCAAATACAGTGAAAGCAGGGGTTATACCGTGGGGGAGGGACATATAAAGCAACATAGAAATCATTTTCTAAATATGTTAGAAACAATTGCATGAAAGAAAAAAAAATTTGAATACTTATCTTGGGGTTCATTCCCCTAACATCAACTTATCTGACTTTTTCTGCTTGACTCAGACATATAATAGTTATTGCAAATAAGGGAAACCATGGGACCTATGTTTCTTTGGGCCTGGCTTACTTCACTTAATTTACCCAAATGATCACAAACAAGGCCATACTAAAGCTACCAGCACAATTATGTTTATTGCAGCATTATTTACCATAGTTAAGATATGGAACCAACCCAGATGCCCCTCAGTAGATGAATGGATCAAGAAAATGTGGTATATATACACAATGGAATTCTATGCCTCCATCAGAAAGAATGACATTGCCCCATTTGTTAGGAAATGGAAAAACTTGGAAAAATTTTCATTCTTGAAACCTCTAACTGCCTTACACTACCAATGCCATTTCCACTCTGCTCTCTACACCATGGAACCAGGTTCAACCTCTGTGCCTCCTTCTCATGAACCCAAGCAGACCCTTTTTCTGAGCAAGCTTTTTCTTAGCATCAAATAGTTGTGCGAGGAGATTTCATTTTGACATGTCTATATATTCATACCACTTGATCAGATTCATCCCTTCACAATCTGCCTTGTCCTTTCTTTCTTTTTGAATGGTGGAAAAATGTATGTTTATAATTAGCCAGCTGGACTCAGTTTGGATGATTCCAATTTTGTTGACAACATCTGCAGCATCATAATCAGGAGCCAGTGGAACATTAGCCTTCTTCTCTCCATCAGGCCTGATCAGAGTATTCACCTTAACCATGTCAGTGTCATAGAGCTTCGTCACAGCCTGTTTGATCTGATGCTTATTGGCCCTGACATTCATCCTGAACCCAAGTGCGTTGCTGTCTTCCATTTTCTTCATGGTTGACTCAATGCTCAGGGGGAACTTGATGATAGCACAGTGGTCAAGCTTGCTTCTCCTCGGAGCACTCTTCCGAGGGTATTTGGGCTGTCTCTGGAGCCACAGCATCTTGGGCCACCAGAAGGTAGGTGAAGTGTGTATGTTCTTTTTGTGGCTGTGGACGCCTTTCAGCATTGCCTTCTTGGCCTTCAAAGTCTTTTCCTTGACTTCAGCTTTAGGAGGGGCAGGAGCTCCCTTCTTCATTTTTGGTGCCATCTTGGTGGCAAAAAGTTGCCTTGTCCTTTCTTCCCAAACCAATCTCAACAAACATCACTGTCTCATTTCGTACATGGACATAAAGTATTTTGATCATGTTCACCTTCCTTTACCCTCCCTATTCTCCCTCCTCTCTCCCTAGGACCCACACCCCAGACAAGACTTATTTGAATTCCTGTCATTCAGATATTTTAGTTTATTCCAATTGTTTCAAGAGTTTCACCAGGTTATTTCACACTGTATACACATAACAAAATGGTGAAACAAGGACACCGGATGACCCATTGCCACAACGATACCCATAGGACAGTATATTGGAATTCAACTTTACAACTTCAGGCGTGGGGGTGGGGTGGGTAGGGAGGAGTGGGGGGAAGGGAAGGGATAGTGGGAAAACAACAAGGGAAGGGGTAACAATGATCCACAAGTAATGTACTCCTTGCCTTACTCATGTAACTGTAACCCCTGTATAGCATCTTTACAACAAAATAAAATTTAAAAAATTGACTCCCTAATTTATTCTCACTTTCTCCATCCTCACCACTCCCAATCAATGGCTTTTGGAGAATTTCATTTTTGTCATCTTAGTTCACAGATCCAGTGTACTTCAGTATTATTAACTGCCTAACATTCACCTTTCTTTCTCTATTAATTCTCTCAACTAGTCCCACAATTACAATCACACAATACACATATATGATGGGGTGTGTGTGTGTGTGTACATGTGTCCATCTGCCTTTGGCTTATTTTGCCTAACATGATATTCTCCAGTTCCATACATTTCCCTAGAAAAGATATTTCATTCTTCTTTATGGTTGAATTATACTTCATTGTGCCTATTTTACACATTTCCTTGATCCACTCATCAGTGGTAGAGCATCTGGATCATTCCATAGCTTAGCTACTATGAAGAGTGCTATAATAAATATGGGTATGGAGGTGCTTCTGTTATATCCTCACTTAGATTCCTTTGGATGGACGCCCAGGAGTGGTATGGTAGCCCTACCTTTGGTTTTTTGAGGGCTCTCCATACTGACTTACATAGTGGTCACACTAGTGTACACTACCACCAATCGTATATAAGGGTTCCTTTCTCCCTCACATGCTCACCAACATTTATTGTTGTTTGTGTTCTTGATTATGGTCATTCTGATAGGACTGAGATGAAATCTGAATTTCAGTTTGATTTGCATTTCATTTATGTCCAGGCATGTTGAGCTTCCCTTGTGTTATTTTCTGGGGTGTGTGTGTGTGTGTGTGTGTGTGTGTGTGTGTGTGTGTGTGTGTGTGTGTGTGTGTGTGTGTTTGTCAGTCCTAGGGCTTGAAGTCAGGGCCTGGGCACTGTCCCTGAGCTTCTTTTGCTCAAGGCCAGTGCTCTACCATTTGAGCCATTAGCACCTCTTCTGGCTTTTTCTGTTTATGTGTTACTGAGGAATCAAACCCTGGGCTTTAGGAATGCTAGGCAAGCACTCTACCACTAAGCCACATTCCCAGACCCTCTGTATTATTTTCAAGTGTTTTTCAATTTCTTCTTTCAAGCACTGTCTGTTCAGCTCATGTGCTCATTTATTCATTAGTCCAGTATCATGATAGCTCCTGCTTTGTTTTTGTTTGTGTGTTTCCTCACAAGATTGTTTTAGCTAGTCTATTTTTTTTTGTATTTTCATATGAATTTTAAGGCTGATTTTTTAATTTAAAGAATGATGTTAGGATTTATATGGGGGTTCACTGAGTTTGTGGGGCTTTGTTTTTGTTTTTTAAGTTTTGTTTTGTTTTGCCAGTCCTTGGGCTTGAACTCAGGGACTGGGCTCTGTCCCTGGCCTCTCTGTGCTCAAGGCTAGTGCTCTACCACTTGAGCCATAGCGCCACTTTCAACTTTTTCTGAGTAGTTAATTGGAGATAAGAATCTCATGGACTTTCCTCACCTGGCTGATTTTGATCCATGATCCTTAGATCTCAGCTAGGATTACAGGTGTAAGCCCCTGGCACCCAACTCTCATGATATTTATTCTGACAGTATATAAGCATGGGATGGATTTCATCTTCCGTTGTCTTCGTCACTTTACTTGTATAAACTGTAAATCTTTATTTATAGTTTTCATTGTAAAAGTCTTTTCACCTCCTTGGTTAAGCTTATTACTGACATTTTTGAAGCTACTCTACATATAATTGCTCTCTTGGTTTCTTTCTCAGGCTGTTCATTGTTGGTGTAGAGAAGAGCTACTGATTTTTGTAAGGTAACAATGTATTCTGCTATGTTGCTGAATGCAATCATGGATACTTAAATAAACCAGTTCCATTCTCTCCCCTCCAAAGTCCCATTTCTACCAATTTAAAGGCATAAAGGTCTGCTCTGACATGGAGATAGTGTATCTAATGCAGGTTATGGAGATACAGTGAAACACTTCAAGCTTGAAGTAAGAGCTTAACTCCCACTGCTAGTTTCCACACAGGTTTAGAATAAAACTTAGCTTCGTGTGTGCCCCCTCTGGCTGCACCTGCACACTTGATACTTCCTCAGCCTTAGTGCATTCTGTCCTTTTCCCCTCTGATCCCCTTTCTGACCTTCACACATCCCATGCTCTTTCCACTTCAGGATTCTCCGTTTGTGTTTTCCTTTTCCAAGAGCATTCTCTTCCAGGCTGTTCTCTCAGCCCATTGCCTTCTTGTCTTTCTAGGCTCAACTCTGCCACTTCTTCAGAGAGGACAGCTCTCACTCTGTCCATCACAGAAATGAGCCCCACCCTGTCTCACCCATCATTTGCTACTATCACTCATTCTTCCCATTTTAAAACCAATTTCTTTATCTATTTGTCTCATTTCTTTGTCCCCTATCTTCCAAACCAGAATGCAAGTACATTGCAGGCAGCTGCCCATCTGTCCAGCTCCCAGTTCAGTCTTCCCCCTATACAACAGTCTTTAGCAGAGCGTGTCAATGGAATGAATGGACAAGAGTCAATATTCATTTGTCTTCTCCATAGACATGCGTCTTATTGTTCTCATACATCATTCAAAGCTCTTATTCTGATCATCTCAACAATCATATGAGCAAATAGCTTATTATTGTCACTTCACGGTGAAGGACAATAAAGTAAGTTATTTATTCATAGGTATCATTTATTGTACTAACTGTATTAGTCGTGAAGCTTCAACTCAGGGCCTTGCTCTCGCACTTGACTTTTTTTCTTCAGGCTTTTTCACATAACAAGCTGGTACTTTGCTACTTGAGCCACACCTCTCCCTCTGGATTTTTACTGGTTAATTGGAAATAGGATTCTCATGGGCTTTTCTGCCAGAGGCTGGCTTCAAACTGAGATCCTCATATCTCAGCCTCTTGACTAATTAGGTTTACAAATGTGAGCTACCAGAGCCTACCTTAGTATTTGGATTTAAATTGTGTTAACATCACTACAAATTACGTATCTAGTCCTGCTTAGAAATCTAGAAACTTGATGGTGGCCTTACTGGAAGTAGAGAAGTCAGAAAAAAAAAGGTGGAGGGAGATGAGCCAGAGATGAGTGTCAGTTGTCTGTAACTCAGACCAGACAGAGGGAGAAGCTCAATATGTGACTGAAAGAATACTGAGGAGACAGCAACACAGAAGAGGAATTACTTGAAATGTTAATGAGACTCATGTAAGTGAATCAGAAAGAGAGTCAGAAGAGAGAGAGAGCAGATAAAGAGAAAAGCCACAAGAAGCATTACAGAGATTGTGTGTTTTATTTCTAGTCTGGGGACTTCTGTACCTATTACTAATGCTATGAACTTTTTCATACATGTATTCAGTGAAGACATGTATTCAATACTTTTGAGCACGTATCTGCAAGTGCAATTGCTGAGTCAAAAAACAGAATGTGCATTTGTCTACAGAACATGCTATGATTTTCCAAAGTCATTTGCAGTATGGGATTTGCAATTAATGTCTCTCAGCTTGCTTGGCTAGTGTTCTACTACTTGAGTCATGCCCTCATGCCTGCCTTTTGCTGGTTATTTGGGGGTAGTCTCATGAGTTTTCCTTCATCTGTTGGCTTCATACCACCATCTTCCAAATGTCAACTTACTGAGCAGGATTTCAGGCATGTACCAGTGGTGGTGCCCAGCTTGATTTTTCATACTCTTTATGCAAACTTTTAGTCTTGGCTGGCCGCATATGCAATTCCAATGTTTGTTTCTGCCTCCTAGTCATGCAGACCTACCAGGAGCTTTAAAGCTGAAGAACAGCCATGTATAGGATGAACAATAAGACCTTATTTAGATAGGTGCTGGCTTGCTTCCTTACTCTCTAAAGAACTTGAGACTCAAGATAATTTTTTTTCAAACAAGAATTTGTACTGAGCACTGAAAAATAGGTCATTCTAACTTGAGTGACATGGAGCCATGTCACAGACTTTTCAGATTGAGTGTAAAGCATTTGAAAGCCCAGGACTACCACTCTGGTTGGGAGGTGGAGGATGGCGACCTCCCACTGGCTCCCTCCAACTCCTGCAACTTTCAGATTGCTAGGCAAGCCCAGAGGAGACAGAACACAATTACAGAAGACTTCATCTGTATCACTCGGGTAAAACCCATTATTATGAAAAGATTAACCTCCCCCCTCCCTTCCTGGGCAGAAATAACTGCCTCTGTCAGGGAATGCCTTGTGCAAAGAACTCTGTGGTTTCAAAGAACTTTTAAAGTCACAGAGAGCTTAAATTCTCATCCATCTGCCACGCCCCCCATGGCCCCCCCCTCCACTCTTCCACCCCCGCCCCAACCACTTTTAGATTATCAGACCAGGAGGCCAGATAGATTGTCCCCTAAATTTTCAAGGCTACTTAGGGAGGAAATGTCTCATAACAAAGACAGATCTCTCGTTTTATGTCTTCCACACGTATGAAGAGAAGATATCAAGCTGATTAGGAAGTGACATCACTAAATTCATAAGTAAAGACAAGAAGGATCTGCAGCCTCAAGACATTCCACACAAAGACAGAAGGTAGATACCCAGGGCAAATGTTTTA